CACGTATCATGCACCAAAGAAAAGCACGGATCCACGAAAAGCACGTATCGACGATGAGCGCATGATCATGCACCAAAGAAAAGCACGGATCCGCGATGCGCACGAAAAGCACGTATCCACGATGAGCACCGAGCACCAAAAGCACGGATCGACGATGAGCGCCCACCAAAGAAGAGCACAGATCCATGATCAGCACGTGATCATGCACCAAAGCACGGATCCACGATCAGCACGTGACGAAAAGCACGGATCCACGATGCGCACCAAAGTGCACAGTCCGCGCGCGCGCACGAGAGAGAGAGAGAGAGAGAGAGAGAGAGAGAGAGAGAGAGAGAGAGAGAGCACGATAAGAGCGTGGTGTGCCGTCGCGTGCCGTAGCGTGCCGGAACGTGCCATCGCGGCCGGGACAATTGAGAAGCCCGCCCCTTCGAAGGGGCGATTGAGACAATTGAGAAGCTCGTCCCTTCGAAGGGGCGGCCGAGACAATTGAGAAGCCCGCCCCTTTGAAGGGCGATTTCAGGGCTGGGCGCGGGCGCGCGTTCAGAAGGGCTGAACCAATATCGCACAGCCCAGATTGCGGGCCGGTCACCACCTGCGGACGGCCCAGATCGCAGGCCGATGAGAAAAGTTTCTCACCGGCCTGCGATCTGGGTCGTCCGCGGGTGGTGACCGGGCCGCATCCTGGGCCGGTAAATATGACGATAGAGATTTTTTTAGTATTGTAGATGTAGATGTAGAAGGACCAGAGTTGTTGAAGCATAGTGTGTTCCACACGGGCCCTACCGGGCCCGACCAGGTAGGAGGAGTAGCAGGGGCTGTAGGTCCGTTTAGGCCCAGTTAGGCCCTGGCCCGTAGGTCAGTAGGCCCCATTTTGAAATTCGAAACGAGTTCGAATTTGGGTGCCAAGTTAGGCGCCAGGTTTTGGGCGCCAGATACTGGCGTCGCTCGGCGCTGGTGAGAACAGCCTCCCAGTCGGACCAGCGCTATATATAGTTGGTCCGCCTAGGAGGCGGCAGAGCATTCTTAGGGCATTCGCTCAGGTAGCAGAGAGGTATGTTTCGTAGTAGCGGCTGTAGTCGATGATAGCGGTAGGGCTCAAGCGCTAGCATAGCGCAGCTGCAATACATCGCAGCACAGGAGAGCAAGAGAGAGAGAGAGAGAGAGAGAGAGAGAGAGAGAGAGAGAGAGAGAGAGGGACCGGGCTATGGTGGAGGCCAGGGGACTTACCTGAGGACTTACCTGTCAGCTCCAGCGCTCCTGCTTCGTCTTCCGTGTGTCCATACCTGCATCAAGGTGACACCTGTCGCAGGTTAGTACGTGGTACTCAGACAGAGAGAGAGAGAGAGAGAAAGAGACTCGAGACGAAGCTGGAGCAACGGCGCTGCAGGTGAGTATCCCTGGCCTCCGCCCAATCTCTCTCTCTCTAGTACTACTCTAGCTGCTATGGCGCCCAGCGCTGAAGACTACAGCTAACGCTACTAGCGCCCAGCGCTGAAGACTAATGCTAACACTACTACTACTACTGCAGCGCTCCTCCAGAGTGCTGCTGCCGAGTCCTGAAGACTACTGACTGCCTCCTGCCTGCACGTGAAGTGCCTGGGAAGTACCTAGGAACTACCTCCCAACTACCTGCAGCCTGCAGGGCGGGCCAGTCTTATATAGTGCTGGCCCATCCAGGAGGCTGCTCTTGCCAATGCCAAAATGTGCCAGACCCTGGGGTTGAAGCTCAAACAAAGGTTGTCATGAAAATAGGCCAAAAATGGGCTGAGCTAAAACCCTGGTCTGGTCCCTGAGTTTCAGCGTAGGTCGAGCTGACGACGGCCTGAAAATGGCCCTCAGTTTCACCCTGAAAATACTCAGGGCCAGAAAGGCCCTGATTTAACCTGAAACGACACAGGGCTTGGAAGCCCTTGTTTTCAGACTTTCAGGCTGAAACGACACAGGGCCTGTAGGCCCTTGTTTTCAGGCTTTTAGGCTGAAAACGACACAGGGCCTGTAGGCCCTCGTTTTCAGGCTTTCAGGCTGAAAACGACACGGGCCTGAAAATGGCCCGTGCAGCCTCTTGCAGGCGCAGCATGTAACAGAGACCCTCCTCCTCCTCCTCCTCCTGTCCATCGCTTCTCTTCTTCCCTCTCCAGCGCTCTGGCCCCCTCCTTTGTCAGACTGTGTGTGTGTGTGTGTGTGTGTGTGTGTGTGTGTGTGTGTGTGTGTGTGTGTGAGAGAGAGAGAGAGAGAGAGAGAGAGAGAGATTTACGACATTGGGATTTGGCGACATTCGGATTCAGACTTCACATTGGGACAGAGACATTGTGGGGGACTATTTTGGATCGGTATAGACACCATTTCGGGTTGACGACATTGTCCATCTCCTCCACCCCTTCGACTCTCCTCCCTCCTCATCTGTGTATGACATATGCCTGGCGCCCTTTGTCTCTGTGTTCGGCGCCGGGCTGCTCACACCGTGTGATGATGATGATGATGATGTTCAGTCTGTGTCACGACATTGATTGGGTCTGATTGTTGATATTTCAGTCTTCCGCTGTGATACCATTGCTCCATTTTTGAGAGGTCAGTTCTCGGTTCTGGTCTGCACCATTTGGCATGCGACAGTTGCTATACGTCATTCAAGAAAGGCGAACACCTCTCCGAATTCAACATCCATCATCATTGCAATCTCCATCCTCACAATCGTAATCAACATCCGGTAAAGCATTACATGGTGACCACCACTCCAAATTCCACATCCATCATCACCGCAATCTCCATCCTCATGATCGTAATCAACCATGGTGTTACAAAGATCATCAGGTCATTGGCCTCATCATCAGCATTCAGCGCCACCCTCAAGATGTGATCTCTTATCGCGGCCTCACCTGGAGAAGGCGCTGCTAGATCTTAATCCATCCATGACTTCAGAGCTGCAAATCAAATTAACAAAAACAAGTGCAAACCACTAATCATAGGCAGAACATCCTGAGACTGGCCTCACAGCAGCTGTCATCAGTCATTACAAACAAACGCAGTGTCAAATACGCTGTCCAAAACTTCAATACACAGAAGGGGATAGCTTTGGGTCACATCACTCACGTTAGTTTGATAGGGAGATAAGAAACGTGTCAAAGCCGAATAGCTTGCGAGCCTTTTCCGCTCTTTTCCAACACACTGCGGTCGCCATTGAGTTCATCCCAATTGGGTGAGTTGGATGCGTTAAGCCACAGTGCACGATGGGTGTGACATTGGCTAGGCCTTGGTTGATTGAATTGAAGGCCCATTGAGATTGGTTGTGAGTCGACCCACCGTAAAAATAGGGATAAAAAGTATTAAAAACTAGGCTACCAGGCCGGGCCGAAAAAAATAAAAAAAAATATTTTTCTTTGAAAAGAATTTCGATGCGCAAGGAATATAAGCGAGCGTGACAGACAGAAAACCAAGCTGCAAAATCACTAGGTAGACCAGATATTCATGTAACAAGAAGAGAGCACAATGCACCAAGATTCCATCCAAATAAGAGCAATACAATAAACTCGAGTGTCAATGCAGATGTTCTCTGGTCACACCAATAATGTTTCCAATGTCGCCTCTACTGTCTGGCGCCCAGCGCCCAGCCTACCCTATTCAGCCTATCTACTCTTATCTACATTCTTGCAACTGGATCACATCGAAGTCAAAGACCAATGTATGTGACGTCAACACCAATGCCGACCACCCACATACACCAGGCACGTTCTCTCTCTTCCTCTCATCACACCTTGACCCCTTCTGCATGCGCCTCCTACCCGAAGACCACCATCACCAGCACCCGCACCCGCACGCTCGGCCTGGCTATGGCCGCCATGCGCGCACTGCCATCGCATTGCCCTCTCGCCTCTTAGCGCCCGCGTGCGCCCCAGCCTGCCTGCATAGTGCAGCATCGCACGGCAAAACAGCAGCGTGGCCGCAATGCCTGCTCAGGCCAGACTGCCCTCACATGGGGCACACTTTCCTATATGGAATGACCTGTTGCAGCTTCGCTCGCAAAAAACAATACGATGGGTGATGCATCCATGGTGAAGGCAACTGACCAATGCAATCTCTCTCTCTCTCTCTCTCTCTCTCTCTC